CTCGGGAGCCTTCATCCTGGCCCAGGCTGTGGTGTGTGTCTCTGGGCAAGTCACTGCTCCTCTCTGGGCCTCTGACTCTCCCAGCCACTGAGGGGATGCCAGGCTTCGGTCACAGGATTCCGGAGGCCTCTGGCTGCTTCTGCCTGAGGCATCCCCTGCAGGATCCCGGCCCCCTACCAGAAAGCACTTTGAGGAGGGGCTATGGAGGGTGTGTCTGGATTCCCAGACTCTCACCCTCTCTTTTCCTTGGCTCTGCTCTTGCCTGCAGGATGAGCTCATCTTGTGCCCTCCCACTGCGGGAGACCCCAGCCTCTATGCATCCCCCTGCCTGGGGTCCCACAGCCATGCTGCTCTGCTCGCCCTGCCCCATGGAAGCCGAGACAAGGGAATTATTTTCGGAACAGCAGCAGTTACACAACAAATGAATTATTTATCTTTGGGCATGGAGGAGATGAGGCATTTTGCGGGCATCTTAATTCTTTTCTGGATTGGAGGGTGGCTGCTTGGGTACGTGGCCATGCGTGTATGGGCCTGTTGTCGTACACAAGACTGTAGGTGTGCGTGTGTGTATACACCTGTCGATGTGAGCATGCCATGGAGTTCTGGCTCATGTGGGGGCCTGTGGGTTTTGTGCAGGCAGGTGGACGAGTGTGGACACTAGTGTGCCGGGGCATGTTTGTGTGTGTGTGCGCGCATGTGTGTGTATGCACCTGGCCTGTTAACTCTCCAGTCTCCCTTCTTTGCCCACTGGCTCCAGACTCTATCCCCTCCTTCCTCCCCCTCCCTTGTTTCTTTGGTCTCCCTCCTTCCATGTCCTGCGGCCCCCTCCTCCCCCTCTTGCCACCCCCCGCTTCTTTTATGTAACAGGGACCCAGAGTGCTGCTGGCACAGGAACCCCCGGGAGGGGGTGGAAAAGGGACTGGGGGCCTGCACTGGAGCTTAGTGGGGTTGCTCTGAGCCTTCACACTGATCTGTCACCCCCTCTTGGTGCTGCCTTTCAGGAACCAGGTGACAGATGGGTCTCTTCCTTCCTGTCCCCGTCTCTCGCGCTCCCCGTTCAGAGCTCCAGTCTCCAGCCTCCCGTGGGAATCGTCTGAAGTTCTGAGCCCAGAACCCCAGGGGGAAGAGGAGGAGGAGGAGGAGGAGGGAGAGGAAGGCAAGCCTTGAGAGCCCGGGCGCCCTCCCGGCAGGAGAGGAGCACCTCGGGGAAGCAGACTGTGGGGCCTGTAGCCCCCGTGGCCCTGGCCTGGCCGTGGCGCCCGGCTCCTGCGGGTAGCACCCCGGCAGGCCCCCGACAGTTGGCACCGGCTCTGCCTGCCTCGTTTGGGGCCCCCAAGCTGGGGGTCGCCCCCAAGATGGTGGCGGCCCCAGGGAGGACTGTGCTGCCGGCCCCAGCCTCTGGCCACTAGGCCACCTGCGCCCCCGCCCCCGCCCCTGAGCCCGGCCTGTGAGGAGGCCGCGGCTGGAGCCATGCTGCGCCTGGGGCTGTGTGCGGCTGCGCTGCTGTGTGTGTGCCGGCCGGGCGCCGTGCGCGCCGACTGCTGGCTCATCGAGGGCGACAAGGGCTACGTGTGGCTGGCCATCTGCAGCCAGAACCAGCCGCCCTACGAGACCATCCCGCAGCACATCAACAGCACCGTGCACGACCTGCGGCTCAACGAGAACAAGCTGAAGGCCGTGCTCTACTCCTCGCTCAGCCGCTTCGGGAACCTCACCGACCTCAACCTCACCAAGAACGAGATCTCCTACATCGAGGATGGTGCCTTCCTGGGCCAGTCGAGCCTGCAGGTGCTGCAGCTGGGCTACAACAAGCTCAGCAACCTGACCGAGGGCATGCTGCGCGGCATGGGCCGCCTGCAGTTCCTCTTCGTGCAGCACAACCTCATCGAGGTGGTGACGCCCGCCGCCTTCTCCGAGTGCCCGAGCCTCATCAGCATCGATCTGTCCTCCAACCGCCTCAGCCGCCTCGACGGCGCCACCTTCGCCAGCCTGGCCAGCCTCATGGTGTGCGAGCTGGCCGGCAACCCCTTCAACTGCGAGTGCGACCTCCTCGGCTTCCTGGCCTGGCTCGTGGTCTTCAACAACGTCACCAAGAACTACGACCGCCTGCAGTGCGAGTCTCCGCGCGAGTTCGCCGGCTACCCGCTGCTGGTGCCCCGGCCCTACCACAGCCTCAACGCCATCACCGTGCTGCAGGCCAAGTGCCGCAACGGCTCGCTGCCCGCCCGGCCCGCCAGCCACCCCACGCCCTACTCCACCGACGCCCAGAGGGAGCCCGACGAGAACTCAGGCTTCAGCCCCGATGAGATCCTTTCGGTGGAGCCACCGGCCTCGTCCACCACGGACGCCTCGGCGGGGCCGGCCATCAAGCTGCACCACGTGACCTTCACCTCGGCCACGCTGGCGGTCGTCATCCCGCAGCCCTACAGCAAGATGTACGTCCTGGTCCAGTACAACAGCAGCTACTTTTCAGACGTCATGACGCTCAAGAACAAGAAGGAAATCGTGACGCTGGACAAGCTGCGCGCGCGCACCGAGTACACCTTCTGCGTGACCTCGCTGCGCAACAGCCGTCGCTTCAACCACACCTGCCTGACCTTCACCACCAGGGACCCGGTCCCGGGCGACCTGGCGCCCAGCACCTCCACCACCACCCATTACATCATGACCATCCTGGGCTGCCTCTTCGGCATGGTCATCGTGCTGGGAGCCGTCTACTACTGCCTGCGCAGGCGGCGCATGCAGGAGGAGAAGCAGAAGTCGCTCAAGGTCAAGAAAACCATCCTGGAGATGCGCTACGGGGCCGACGTGGATGCCGGCTCCGTCGTCCACGCCACCCAGAAGCTGGGCGAGCCCCCTGTGCTGCCCGTGTCCCGAATGTCCTCCATCCCCTCCATGATCGGGGAGAAGCCCACCACCTCCAAGGGGCTGGAAGCTGGGCTGGACACGCCCAAGGTGGCCACCAAGGGCAACTACATCGAGGTGCGCACGGGCACGGGCGGCGATGGCCTGGCCCGGCCCGAGGATGACCTCCCGGAGCTGGAGAACGGCCAGGGCTCGGCCGCTGAGATCTCCACCATCGCCAAGGAGGTGGACAAGGTCAACCAGATCATTAACAATTGCATCGATGCCCTCAAGTTGGACTCGGCCTCTTTCCTGGGGAGTGGCAGCGGTGGCGGGGACCCTGAGATGGCCTTCGAATGCCAGTCCCTCCCTGCGGCCTCCACCACCTCCTCGACTGCCACCCCTGGGGGGCTGGAGCGGCCCAGCTTCCTCTCACCTCCCTACAAGGAGAGTTCCCATCACCCGCTGCAGCGCCAGCTGAGCGCTGATGCCGCCGTGGCCCGCAAGACCTGCAGCGTCTCCTCCAGCGGCTCCATCAAGAGCGCCAAGGTCTTCAGCCTGGACGTGCCGGATCATCCGGCCGCCGCGGGGCTGGCCAAGGGCGACTCCAAGTACATCGAGAAGGGCAGCCCCCTAAACAGCCCGCTGGACCGGCTCCCGCTGGTGCCGGCGAGCAGCAGCGGGAGCGGCGGTGGCGGCGGCGGCGTCGGCAGCGTCGGCGTCCACCACCTGGAGGTGAAGCCCGCCTACCACTGCAGCGAACACCGGCACAGCTTCCCGGCCCTGTACTACGAGGAGGGCGCCGACAGCCTGAGCCAGCGTGTGTCCTTCCTCAAGCCGCTGACCCGCACCAAGCGGGACTCCACCTACTCGCAGCTCTCGCCCAGACACTACTACTCTGGTTACTCCTCCAGCCCTGAGTACTCATCCGAGAGCACGCACAAGATCTGGGAGCGCTTCCGGCCCTACAAGAAGCACCACCGGGAGGAGGTGTACATGGCCGCCGGCCACGCCCTGCGCAAGAAGGTCCAGTTCGCCAAGGACGAGGACCTGCACGACATCCTCGATTACTGGAAGGGGGTCTCGGCCCAGCAGAAGCTGTGACCCTCTCCCCCCTGGTGAGGTTGGAGGGGGAGGGCCAGGGGCACGCGGGGAAGGGCCCGGGCGGCCGGGCGGGGCGCGCTGGGGGCCGAGGCCAAGGAGTGGACGTACACGCACACCCGCACTCACGCACCCACGCACACACCTGACCACCACCTGACTGTGAACCACCATCACCCGACAATACCGGACGGGGAAACAAAGACATGTTCACCTTAAAGTTTACACACTGATCCTGAAACCAGTCGTCTCTACTGTGCTGCCCAGGGACTCTGCCGGGGTGTGCGTGCTGGGTGGGGCCGGCGGGCAGGCGAGGAAGCCAAAAGAGGGTGTGGGGTCTGGGGCTCCGGGACTAGGGACAGGTTTGGGGGCAAAGGAGCCTGGGGCGGGGATGGGCCGAAGCCCCCTGGGGCAGGGAGCGCGTCCCCCCAGCTGGGGGACAGGTCACTTGGAGATTTAGTAGAAGACGGACGTTGGGCATGGTTTCCTTCCTTTGTGGATGGGGAAACTGAGGCCCAGAGAAAGGAATTGCTAACCCCAGGGTCACATGGCAGGAGAGAGTCAGTCTCCCAACTTCCCAGCCCAGTGCAATCCTCCAGCCCCAGGAGCTCTCCCGGGGCCCTCACCCTCTGTTCACCCACTACCTGTTCTGGAGCTGTGGTCTCCTGGGGCTGTGGGACGAGAGAATCAGGCGGGTGCTTTTCCTTTCTAGAAAGCCCCATGGCCACGTCCCCCCCC